AGATTTCCTCCTCGTCAACCCCCCCCCCCCCCCCCCCCAATTGTTGGTTTGACAGGTTAAAGTGTTTTAAAAAAACCCCACACTTTCTTCCCCTGTTCTACAAAAAGGTGTCAACATACTTGGCAAACTTCACTGTGGTGGCATTTCGGGGCACAAAACCTGTGTGGAACTGAATCTGAAACATCTTCATAGAAGCCATCTGTTAAAACAAGAAATACAGGGAAACTGCTTAAACTCACATTACCAATTAATGGCAGAACGCTGCAATATATAATGCAAAGTATTTTCAGTATTACAATATTTCTAAGTGTTTGTTTTGCTACCACTTCAGTTTAATTCCACGTGTACTTTACCTTGAGAGAATTAAATGCAGTTTAAGACAGAACATACATAAATCTATTACTATAACCTCAAACAGACTATCAGAATCTATTAAATATTTCTAGACCCTGTTCTAGAGGCTGAAACTGCAGGACCTTTATTACTTTTCTGAATAATGTACACTCAGAAAAACTCATTGTGCAATACACTAATCAAGAAATATGTCACATATAAAGGAATCCATTCAGAAGAGTTTTAAATGTAGCACATCTAAAAGGATACTTCATAAGACATGCAAAGAGTTCTTTTTCCTGTGCAACTTCAAGTCAACCATTCAGATGGAACTATAGAGCTTTTCCAAACCGATTGACTATCACCATTCAACTTTCCCACCTCTTTCTTTTGCTGATGGGAAAAACTATGTTCCCATGCCTGATCAGCGTACGTGAGAGTCCAGAAAATGCTACTGTAGAAGATTCATGTAGCTCCCGGTCTCGCACAAATCCAAATTACAGCAAAATGATAAATCCACAATGCATCTTTCCCCTGGCTTTAGCTACAGCACATGTGGAATAGTCTCGCCAGTCCTTCACAACACAGGTCACACAGTAATAGTCCAGTAAATATGATATAATAAAACTGATGTATGAAAGCTTTCCTTATAGGTGAGCATTTATTGAACATCATAACCAGAAGCCAAGCAACAGGCCAGCAGGTTGAGGGAGGTGATCTTTCTCCTCTGTCCAGGATTGGTGAGGCCACTGTGTCCAGTGCTGGGCTCATCAATACAAGACACATGGGCACACTGGAGAGAGCTCCTCTGACCCATCCATCCCTACACTGAACTACGTATAAAAACCTGAACACCCTATTAAATCAGTTTTCTTAATCCCTTGCTATGCAAGAAATTTCCTAGAAGATAAACTAAATTATCTCTCAGATTAACTGTGAGCAAGCGGGAGTCAACCACAATGCCCAGCTCTAGGCACTTAACAGCAATATTGAAATGCAATGGTTCATCTCATTAAGAGTTCTGCAGAGAGCTTCAGGGGGCAATTTAGAGTACATAAAACTAAGGGCACATTCAATATTGCTCCATCAAAGCTCCAAACCAGGATCATCACAAACACTATTGCTGTATCATGTGTTATAGCAGATTGATGAGAAAATTCTAATCTTTTCTGACCAGTGAATAAATGCCAGAGAAACCACATCAAAAGGCCCTATTATCAGTGAAACCAAGATTACACAAGGAGTATAAGCTAACTTTGGCTGAATTTTCCCCACTTGTATGCCTTCTTCACTGACGACCTTGAACCATACATACACTAGTTATTTTTGTACATTACAGAATCATTTCACTGAGCTTTCAGTTTTAGGATGATCTGGAAGATCTGGCCCATAGCACTATGGGGACATTAAGAAAGTCTGAAACCTCTGCAACATGACAAGATTTGATACTCACCTTCCTACACACAAAGTAGAAAAAGGGAAAAGAAATTATTTCAGTAATAGTAGATATGGTATGAATATGTTTGTTTCCCCCAAATGTATGGGAACTGTCTGCAGAACTTCTGGATCAATTTTCACAATGCTCCAAGTTATCCTAAACTTCACTACCCTACTCCCATCTTTTACATGGATCTCCATGTTTAATTTGGGTTACTCATCTGGAGAAAAAAAGAACAATGTCTCTTTTTTAAATTTGAAGACAGGCTTTGTTAGCAAATTTTCTGTGATCTTGCAATACATTTGCATCCATAGTTGAATTAAAAAATGAAACATGCATTCTCCCTAGGAGAACAAAGACTAGTAAGAAAATTTGGTTATGAAAACTTAACCTGGCTCTAGAAATAGGGTACAAAAGGGATTTTTCCAGCCTGTTTTGTACAGGAAGTCCCTGGAATTCCACTTTTCTATTGAGTAGTACTGGCTTCCAATTCGTGTGTACAGGATTAAGAAATTCTGGCTTGTTGTGCAACTTAACAGGTAACAGTAACTGCCTCAAAAAACTGGCCAGAGGCTTTCCATGAAAATATAATAACTATTACTACTGAAGTAATTTCCAGAAAGGCTTACCAGAGCATCAACCTGCAGCAGAGCATTAAGAATGGACATACTTATTAGGCTAGAAAAGGCTAAATTCCCAAGTACATGAAAACCCTGCATATTTCTTTGAACAAAGAATAGCAAATGAAGCTATATACTTAATGAGATCACAAATACAAGTATGATACAAAACTGCAACAAGAAAAAAGCAACTCCTCCATGTAGGCTGTTAAATTTATCATTACCTTGGCTTGTAGGCGGCCTCCTAGCGTTGATCTGGCATGATAGATTACAATGAGAACATCTCCCTGGACTGTTATGCCTAGTGGAATTACTGCTTTCCCATCTTCAATTTTAAACTCCCTGAAGGAAAAAACCAAAAACATAACAGTTAATTTTTATTTTTTAAAACAGTGTATTACCTTATGTTTAGCTTGGTTCCTGCAAGGTCTTTGATAGTAATCCATGAAAATCTGCTTCAAATTGTTATTCTAGAGAAACAATTCACTCTAAATAATCAAAACTCAAAAGCTGCTCTAAAAAGAACAAGATTAACAGTTGCTTACAGCAGAGCAACAGGCATATTTAGACCCACAGTTCTCCAATCAAATATGGGAGAAACGTGTCTTCAAGGAGCTACTGGGAAATGCAAGAGAGACAATATTAAGAAGAAAGCCCTTCCAAAGAAAGATGCAGAAAGAACTGTAGCTGAGCTGCTGTAATATGTCAGGACTACCACTGAGAGACAGCAGAAGAAAAAAAGAGGGGGAAATGTCATTATAACATCCCACAGCTGTCTCTGTTCCTGCTCTCTTCAAATTCACCAAGCTCCTTACGGGGCTTGGATTTATAAGAAAGCTAGAAGGACTTTGGTATTCTCTCACCTTTCCTCTGTCTGTGACTATCCACACCTGGTACTGCTGGTACCATTTGCAATTCCTGTGCTGCATTACAACAGCAGACACCACAGCTATACAGGGGCTGATAAGCATTCCCCTTACAGCTGCTGTGCCTGGGGGATCCTTAATGTTTCCACAATTTGGACATGATGTTCAGTTCAGTACCTGTACACCAGGGATCAATCTCCCTAGTTTATACCACCTGGAGTGAGAGGAAGGATGGTCTTCCTCACCTCTGCTTCCCAGTGCCCACTGTGCCACCCCACTATCAGCCCCACTTTCTGCAGGAACAGATCCAAGCTGCTATTATAACCACATTTTTCTTTCAAGATCAGCTAAAGGGGACAGAGGAGCTGTTTTCCATATATTAAAGTAGCTTTTTGCTCAGCTGGCACATGCAAAACCATGCCTTCTCCTCACAGTAAAGACTTCATATTTAAGTCAGCCTAGAAAAACTCATTTCAGAGCAAATCATAACTTGTACTTACTTCATTTTGTCATACTCCTGGGAGGTAGTGGTTACTCTCTCATCTCCCACATAAACTTCACAAAAAGGCCTGCAGCCATTACGCTGCTTACTGAAAAGAGGAACTGGAGTCATGATGATTGATCTGACAAGGATGGGCTTGCTGTGAGGAATAATGGGTTCTTCAGCCATCATGTCACACATGTATTCAATGTATCTGCCAAAACCAGAAGGTACTCATTTAGCCAGAGAACTCTAAAAATGGGTGAACACACAGGTGAGTTACTTCGGTTCATATCCCCCCCCTGTGCAGTGACAAAGGTAACAATAAAATACTGGGGACGCTTAACAGCTCTTCCAGCAAGCAGAATTTCACAGAAGTAAAATGAAACAGAAATATGGAGAAATATTTATGATCACTAGCTAGCCTCCCAATATAAGGACAGCAACAATTTTTATACAAAAGCCCAGTGGCTGCATCACAACAAAAATATACTGCCCAGAAAACTGAATACAGCACTGCATATGAAGTCATCTGCACCGGTGTGTCATCTTCCAGACAACTTGAGACATCACGTTGGGTCTGTAGCTTTACATATATTCCCTTGTAAAACAAACTAGCCATTCTTTCTAGAGGCCAAACTAGGAGAACTATTTTGTGTCTTATACATAATGGATGTTACACAGCAGCTCTGAAGCTAGTAGCTCAAAGCTTCCTAAAGGCTTTACCTTTAACCTCATTAATATAAATTATCTTGTAGAGGACCCATTACATATACTCAAAGCAAATCTGTCATTTATACATAGCTAATCCTTACTTCTCACCTTTCTAAATCTAACTGGTTTTGTAGGAAACACCCTTACTAGCAGTGTCACTTGCTACTGAGACTCTATTGCTGAAAGATTTATCAAATTAAATCAAATTATTAGTTTAAAACAATTGTCAAAGTATATGAAAGTCACCTCTGCATGCACTCTGTTAAAAAGCAGAAAGCATTCTTACCTAAACAGGAAAGGTCTTGCAATGCTCTCACAGAGTGTTGTAATAAACTAGTAAACATGGAGTAATTCTTAATACACATGGAAGAGGACTTTATACTTGAGAGCATTCAAAAGCACTGCATAACCTTGTTTTCATTCCTAATATTTTGAGTCACTTTTGATAAGAACATCATGAGTAACTTAAAGGCTCACAAAATTCAGAACTACTTTTTCTAATTATGGTACATCTGTTTTTCCAAGTATTTCCAACTATGATACATCGATTTTTCCTAGTATTTCCAATTATGATACATCGATTTTTCCAAGTATTCTAAAGTATTCTGCTGTTCAAACATAGATCCTATTGAAATAGTTTTCCTTCCCAAGAATAATCTTGTAAAAGCAGTAGCATATTCACAATTGTATAACTACTTGCTTCAATAATACCCCACAGACTAATACTGTACCTTTTATGAGAAGGCCAAATGCCAGGAGGACAGCGTTTCATACTGAACATATAAACTGCAGCTTCAGCAGTAGTGAAGAGACGACAGAAACACAGAAAGGAACAAACTACAACAGCAGATGCCGCTCTTCCATCCTACAAAAAAAAATTAAAATTAATTAATTGTAACTTTGCTATTAAACCTAGCAGAAAAAGCATTACAGAAGTTACTGAAAAACATGCTATCTCCTTACTTAATGCAATGAAACCCAAGGTCTAGTGCAATCATTAGATTTGAAGTATCTGAATGAAATGTTTTCATTTGGTTTTCACACAATACAGAAGAAATTACATCTGTCTGCCTCCTCAAATGTGAATAACTGCTTTAGCTTAACACAATTTGACATTTTCGGTTTATTGCTTTATCCCTCGCTGCTACCTCAAACACCAGTTCAGTGCCACTATTGGCTGATAACCATGGATTTCTGCTATAAAACAAGTCCTACGATTCAGAAGAGCTAAACCACACTAAACTGTTTAGTCTTCTGACTAAAACTGCGTAAGATTAATAGCTTGCCATGAAACTAAGACAAGGAAATTGAAACACTGAACGTCTTTCTGCAGGGACCACAGCTACACACATCCCAGATCCATCCCTACCTTATAATAAGCTGAGGATTCAGAAGAGGTAATGGTCGGCAGAACCTCTCAAGTTTTTCTGCTAACAACATGGAACAAATGTTTTTGTAGTCATTTGTGTAAGTGGGGAAGGAACAGAGATTTTTCCTCAACTTGTTTTAACAGGCGTTTATTCCAAAGCAAAGCATCTTTCCTAATCATTACTTAGACCAATGAAAAGGTCTGTGAGCACCATAAGAGCCAGATCTTTAAAGAGCAGTTCAGCAAATCAGTATTATTGCTGGTGTTACTAGCAAGGCCAATGATTTCCAGAAGTTACTGAACTAAACTAATCTATGATTGTATGGGCTGCATCCTGCCTTTAGTTAACTTTCAAACTGATGGGAAAAAAACCTCATGGTCACTACCCCCAGATACCTACACTCAGGGCAAAACATTAATGAATACAATGGCAGAATGAAACATTGATTAGCATGACAAGCAGTGACTTATGTACACTTGCATTACAAAGTCACTTCCAAATTAAAACACCACAGGAAGAGGAGAAAAATCATTGTACAAAGAGGTAAGGCAAGCAAGTCACAGCAAACCCTTTGCAACTGTGGCATAAAAGTCAGAGGACAAGTTTACAAGACTTTGAAGACCACTTTACAACCAGAAATACAGCATTCTAAACAAAGAACATCTCACTCATTACTGAGCAAATCTGATAACAGAACTTTGCACTTCAGAAAGAAGCTTGATAAGTTGCCAGTGAGAGGATGAGGGGCAACGGGCACAAGTTGGAACATAAGAGATTCCACTCAAATATGAGAAAAAAACTTCTTCACTGTGAGGGTGACAGAGCCCTGGAACAGGCTGCCCAGGGAGGTTGTGGAGTCCCCTTCTTTGGAGATTTTCAAGACCCACCTGGATGCAGTCCTGAGTAATGTGCTCTAACATGCTCTAGGCAATCCTGCTTCAGCAGGGGAGTTGATCTCTATGGTCCCTTCCAACTCTAAAATTTCAGTGAAATTCAGTGAAGTTGCAGAATGGGAGCAAAAGAAACACTCCAATCCAGAGATGAGACAGTAAGAATTTCAATTTTTCCCTGTATGTTTTTACAAGGATGATGAATCTTGGCTACAAAAATAAACAATCCTTGGGCATAAAAAAATCATTAAGGCAGCAATAAAAAATGATTGGAAAAAGCTAGGTTTTGAGCATGTTTGTTCCAAAGACTCAAAAAGCTAGAGGAGGTTTGTGTCTAAACTATTATACAAAGAATGACCTTTATAAAATAAATTAAACTTAACTTTTCTTAGTGTGCCTATCTTAACTTGTTTCATTTAAACACGTCAAATACAGCTATCTGAAGGAACACTTAATAACACTGAAAGAGCTGCAGTTGCAAGTGTCTTTGCCATTATATTCCACCAAGATGATACTGTACTCACACCTGCTTAAAGCTGTCCAAGTTTTCAAGGACAACCACCACAGCATGGCCCCAAATAATTACACAGAGAAAAGTGGTTACTGCAGATGTCTAGGAGTTACTCCAGTCTCTGGCGTGTGTGCTACAGTCTTTTGATATCAACAGAATGGGATGCCAGTTAAAAGCAGATCTGTGTCATTGCCAGTCCAGAAAGACTCAACTGTAGCTGAAGTGGGGAGCTGCCATTTAAACCTTGTTTTCAATGGCTTGTTCTGAACTGGATCACTCAAATTACAGTGTAAAAATTTAACTATTCACTCCATTATTGCAAACCTCTACAGTAAAGATCAAAAGACCAGGAAGCCCTACCTAGTTCTGAATACTGGCCACCTAGAGGCAATCTCACCTTCAGAAGCAATTTTAATGTTTTGTTATCTAAGAAAGTGCATTAGTCTAAAACTTTCTATCTCCACCAGACAAAGAATTCTTTTCAATCTAATTTCCTAACTTTTGTATCTACAAAAATTTCCAACTAGATGAATCCAAGACCATATTGCAGCTGTCATTCACTTCTAGTAGTTCTAGTGTATGCTCTTGACATCACATCTAACACACAGACATATATATATATATATACATATATATATATATATATATACACACACAAGTTTCCCTTACACCTGAGGAAAAGGAATGAGTTAAGAACCTTAAAGGAAACACTTCAAGGGAAGGATGTTACAAAAAATGTTATCATATGATCACTTCTCAGTATCATGTGATATTGAGATACTGTAAGTATCACTTTAATATAGACTTAGATTCCTAACCTTACGGCAGCCATGAAAATCCAATTGGTTTTCAGGAGCTGGCATTAAGTGATCTTGCAAAACTCCGTTTCAGGAAGCGCACTTTTCCAGATTAAAAAAATCATCTTTTAAGATTCTGATAGTGATATTTCATTATAGACTGCTATACCATATCAAAGGACTGTTTTTGAATGCTTTCCAGCAGCATCATATGCATTGTAACAACTGTCATGTTTCTCTTTTTACTGTGCAGGAAAATAAGAATTTAAAGTGCCCCACACAATTCTCTTACACAAACGTAACAGCAACCTCATGTTTTCAAAGCTTGAGCATAGTAGTTATTTAAATTCATTTCCCCCCCACCGTGTTTGACATGAGGTTGTTCTTTATCACGAGTTTTCTTGTCATAGCAATCTGCTGCCAGCAAAAACAAGTTTCACCACAAGTCTCATAGTCAGTTTCTGCAATTCTGCTGATAGAGAATACATTCTAAATGGTCAGTGGGAAATGCAGTGTACACCCAGCTGTCACTCCGAAAACAACAAAAAAATAGTGCAAACACTGAAATAATATGGCAGACTCTTTCTCTGAAAGGCTACTTTGCTTTAATCCCTCCTGTTTATTGCCTTCTATGTTACATCCAAGTTAGAGAGGGCTACATGACGCAAATAATTTGCCTCATTGTAACTAATATTAAGGAGAAAATTTATGCAGGTCATTTTCATAAAAACATAAAAGGATGGAATTGCCCCCTGGTCTCAGAGTAAGAAAGCTAGTAACACTCACAAACGGAGTGAATACTAGCATCCTTATTCAAAATTGAAAGCTGAATTGAGCAAAGCACTTCAGATTTAAACCAGTTTCTTACAAGGCAGTGCACAATGCAAACGTTTTTCTGGTCCTGTTTCAGCCATAAATGCATGTTCTTGCATATGCTATAAAGATTCTGAAGATTTGGTGCTCGTCTTGCTGGCCAGCCACATTCAGAAACCTGCAACAAGAGATACAGCAGAGGTAAGAAATAAGATTACATAGTCACATACATTTGCATAGCAAAGGATGTGTATATACAAGACAACTTTACATTTTAATGCCACCTTCAGGTAGAAATTAAGCAAGACACTCAAGAAAAGTAGTTTTACAGTGCAAGCACCACTTTATAGGACAACGCACAATAAAACTCCACCGCTATCTATAGCCTGCTGCACTAGAAGTATCAGCAACTCAGAACTATCAGTACTATGTGAAATTTTCTCAGAGCAAGGAATAAAGTAAAACAGCTTTCAACTTGATTTGTGCACATATTCTTAAGCAAAAAAAAACCAGAAAAACTTGGTTTGCTTTTACATTTGTTCTTTATTCAATGAGCCTCAACATTTAAGTAATATTACTTCTGCAATTAGCGCTACAAAATACTACCAAATAATCAGCTTCACTCCTGAGACCCTATACTCTTAAAATCAGCTATCCAGTAAGAATGCAGTATGTGAAAACTTCCAACACCTAAAGAACAGATAGTCTGTCAGGATCAAGGAAACAACTTACAAAGCAAGTTTTTTCTATTTCTTTTTAGCCACAAACACAATCGCTGAATGTGGAAGACCAAGTTTTGCTATCAGCAACATGTTCTCTTACCCAGACAAAAGAGTGCAAGGGTTACTTTGAAATTGAACTGAGTATCACACAAAATTCTCAATGAGATTGCTTCTTTCAGACTTTGTTTTTGTGGCAAGCTCAAGAAAAATCTCACACACAAAGTCTCCTACAGCTTTTCACTGTATTCTAGTATTTTCATTTAAAAAACCAGGGCAGTTTCAGAAAGTGTCACTGTGCAAGAGATTTAAATTGAATGTTCTATTGTTAGCGAAAGCTTACACAAAGTCACCACTGAACAAATACAAGCAAAGTCAAGCAGTCCTTTATATTCCTGTTCACCACGGGATTCAATGTGGGCTTCAGTACATCTCGAACATTTCAATGGTAGTGAAAGCATTATAGCTACAAATCAGAAAACAAGGTGTATTCAAAAAAGCCAAGAATTGGATTTTTTTCTGATTCACTGTTTACCTTCTGCTAAAACACTAGTTTTGTTACAAGAAGCATATCATACAACATTACCTTCTTTTCCTTTGCTTATGTTTTAAGATTAAAATATTCTGATCATTAGCAGAATGATAGAGAGTGCACAACCTTTGGGCAATCTACTCCAAATAGGGCTCAAAAGTAGCAGAGAAGACTTCAAAACTACCAGTAACTTTAAGCAAGGTTAAAGAAATTTGTAAAAATTCCATACAGATAGCATACAGCAAGAAAGCAAGAATATATAATTTCATAAATACCTACTAAGCAAAGTGTCAGAATTAAGAATTTCAGAAGCTGTTCTCATCTGATCAAGTTTAAGGCTTGCCATAATCATCTTTTGCAGGCACTGAAGCAAAACTAAACTTCCTTGGATTCCTACCTGGCTACTCTCACCAAACACTGAATAATGGAGTTAAGTCAGTATTTCACTGAATTTCACTGAATTTTTTTACAGTTTGAAGGGACCATAGAGATCATCTAGTCCAACTCCCCTGCTGAAGCAGGATTGCCTAGAGCTAGAGCATGTTACTCAGGGCTGCATCCAGGCGGGTCTTGAAAATCTCCAAAGAAGGGGACTCCACACCCTCCCTGGGCAGCCTGTTCCAGGGCTCTGTCACCCTCACTGTGAAGAAGTTTTTTCTCATATTTGAGTGGAACTTCCTATGTTCCAACTTGTGCCCATTACCCCTTGTCCTCTCACTGGCAACTGCTGAAAAGAGTCTGGTTCCCTCCTCCTCCAACCCACCCTTTAGGTACTTATAGGCATTGATAAGGTCTCCCCTCAGCCTTCTCTTCTCCAGACTAAAGAGTCCCAGCTCTCTCAGCCTTTCTTCATATGGGAGATGCTCCAGTCCTTGAATTGTCTTTGTTGCCCTTCGCTGGACTCTCTCCAGTAGTTCCCTGTCCCTCTTGAACTGGGGAGCCCAGAACTGGACGCAGTATTCCAGTTGTGGCCTCACCAGTGCAGAGTAGAGGGGGAGAATGACTTCCCTTGACCTGCTGGCCACCCTCTTCCCTATGCAGCCCAGGATTCCATTGGCCTTCCTGGCCACAAGAGCACACTGCTTGCTCAAGTATTGCTCATTGTGTATTGCTCATTGTGCAGGTGGATTTCAAAGATGGACAAGGAAATTATCCCTAATAGATCTAAAGAGTTTGTTTTCCAAGTAAAACAGCTGCCTTATTTTGTTTTTAAAACAGAAAACAATGTTTTGCAGAAATTTCCTAAATATTCCCAGCCAATAAAGTGGGCAAGAACTTACAATGTTAGCGTCTACTATTACTTTCCAGCAAAACAAAGATAGTAAGACAAACTGAATGTCAAAAAGATAAATGTAGACCAGAAGAGTTCCACATCACTGGTAGATTTAGCTGTGCTTATGTTACCATTCACAGTACCAATACATCAGGAATATCAGCGTATAGGCACTTCAGACTTGCATAACTAAAGAATCATAAAATCATTTAGGTTGGAAAAGACCCCTGGGGTCATCGTCCAACCATCTACCCTACTCTACAAAGTTCTCCCCTACACTACATCTAAATAACTCTTAAACACATCCAAGGATGGTGACTCAACCCCCTCCTTGGGCACCCTATTCTTATTCTAGAAGTTTAAAAGGAAGGAAGTGACAAGCACTAGGCAGAGTACATTAAACATAACTCAGTTTAAGTGAACTTGGATAACTGAAGTAATGCCAAGAGTGGCTCAGATGGCTAAGGCCCAAAGGGCTTTCCTGTAACAAATATTGCTTCTAGACTCTCCTGTAGGCAGTCGGTTTTATGGGGAAGGGGTACGATCACTACAGACTGAGGTAAGTTTAATGTGGCCAGCGCTAGACAACTCATAACTAGTAACAAGTCTCTACTGTTGAGCTACTTACAGGACAGGTGAAGTGAATTTAGGAGCTGAAGTCCAGTGTCACAGCACCTATTAAGCTGCCCTCACTACCTTGTTAACTTAAGTAGGCAAATGTCTTCATTCTAGTATCAGAGAAACAGGCAGAAAGGCTAGCGGAACTCAGCTAAGCTATACCAGTATTTCAGGCAGTAGCAACAAACAGTCAGCTAGGGCTGAGCCATATGGGAGTCAAACAGTATGTAGCAGGACAAGGAGAAAGTCAAGTAAATAGGTTGTGCAAATCACACTCCAAAGGAGTATTACCTTTGATAAAGGATGTATGTACATTCTCTGAATGCAGGAGAGATTGAAATTTTAGTAAGTTTTAATCATGTTAAGGATTCTCCATTTAAATCTGAAACACGTAAGGTACCTGTACATGTTTTCAAAGATATTACACTGGCCTCTGAAACACAGACTTTAGTCAGTAAGATTAAATATTAGTCTTCAATCAGTTAAGTTTGGATTGAAAGCAAAGGTAAGCAGAATATAGGTTACACTTTGATCTTCTGTATGTACTTACTCTTTTGTCATCTTCTTGATTATGCAGCCTATTTTAATATATTTCACAATAAAAAGCTGAAGGTATAATCAAGACATTGTGCTGAAAGACCTTTTACAGAAATGCACAAAAATTATACACACCCTATTATGGAATCTTGAAGGCCTGTATGTTCTTGGAGAGAGATTGTACACAGCATAGTGGCCAGGATGTTTAGAGTCCAGACATAATCGCACATCTTCTATGTTATTTTTGATGGCAGATTCTACACCTTCAGCTGGAAAGGACATCACTGAAGACAGAACAACAAACACCAGGTGAAGCATTCACTTTTTTCACATATTAAGAACAATCAGAAATTATTCTTAAAACAGACATAACTATCATACCAGCAATTCTGGAAGTGATGTATGATATATCCAAGTCTCCTTTTGCATAACTGAAACAGAACACATAGGAGTTAATACCGGGAAATAAAATCATTTAAGCTGTAAATTTAAGACCCAGGTCTCTCAGGGTACACCCACCACCACGAATAATATTTCATTTCTTCCACTCTGAGGCTTGTTACCTCACACTTCAAGGTTTTCAGAATAAACATTTTAGTTGAACAGTTACTTATTTACATCAGTTGCAAAAGAAGTATCTCTGGGGATTTTGTACAGACATCTTCAATGTTTAACTCATTCTTCTAGCCCCTGCTCTTAGTGAGAAACGTTCACTGTCAGTAACAGTTTGAAAGCCTAGTAAGGATGCCTTAACATCTTTAATGGAGGACATCATAATGCTTAAAAAGACGACCATTTGTTGAAATTTTACGTTTTAAATGATGTAACTCTGGCATGTTATCACCTTGCTGCGATGGCCACGCTGCCCAATTCCTGGATTTCTTATGAATAGAGGGTACCTTTCCTCATTTAAACCATTCCTCCAAAAATTCACTTCCAAAACTTCCATAGTAAGCAAAGCATTAACCATTACTCATCTCTTTCTCATACAGTTGTGCATGGTTTTAAAGAGCAGTCTTTTTGAAAAATAATCTCCCAGTGATTTATTTTTTTCATTTAGGTCCATTCCCTCCATCTCTCCCTAATCACACACATTATGCCAAAAATCTCCTATTTTAGGACCACTTATTTTTTTTACTTCTAGGGTATCTGCTATGTAGCAGGACTAAAAAAGCTCAAGAAAAAGACTGAAGAGCCCCAGTGCAGGCCAACATCCTTGAGTACAATCACATAAGTCTGCACTCCCAATTGGCAAAATAAGAACAAACCTCACCTACAGAATTTGGTTTAGACATCCCTAACTTAATTAAGCCAGCAGCATATTATCTCCAGAATATCAAAGTGTCATCACAAGATTATGATGCATGTTTAAAGAACGCAGAGGCACTATCAAAGCAAAACTTTTGTATCACTACAAAGTTTAAAGACACTGCTTGAAAGAGCAGACCTAGGATACTGCACGCAAATTTTGAAATGTCAAGAGAGAAAATTATGCTTTGATTCCCTACTGCTTGCCAGTAAATGTGAAGGAGGCTGGAGGGATTAATTAAAAGATTATTGAATTACAAGGACTGGGAGGAGGATAAGGCAAGAACAACTGTTCTGAAAGCGAGTATTTATCAGTGTTCTAACAATGATAATGACCCACGGTCTCAAGAGAAATTGAAATGACCACAAGGAATTTGAGATTCTCACTAAACAAAGCACTGAAAAACTCAGCCTTGAAAAATCTTGCATAAGGAGGTAGACAAAATGGTCATATAAACACTATATCAAATTTATCTGCACCTTTGAAAGGACATCACTTTATCATGTAGCTCAAGTGGTAACACTGTTGCAGCCAAATTAAGGCAGAAATTTACATTCAGAGCTAATAATGGTTTCTTACTGAGATTAGTTATAAGCATAGTCCTTTATATGATTGAGAAGTGTCAAATGTTATTTGTTGCTTACACCCACCACCTTCAAGTATGAAAACATGCAGATCATTCTAATGATACCGATTTTAATATGAAGAACCACCTAATGCAATAGCCTGAGAACAAAGAACCATTATCTCTTCAGTGCTGTTAACACTGAGGTTAAGCAGTAACTTGAAAAAAGCACAGAACTGTTAAGAGCAAAAACTCAACAGTCCTCACACCCATTCCCTTGGGAACGTTTTCAGATATTAACTATTAACTAGCAAAATCACTCAATTCAGCTTTGCTTTTTACATTTGTCTAAATTATTAGCAGCATGGAGCTCACCACACACACACCCCACTGAAAAAGTGTAGGTTGGTATGTCACTAGAGCACAGTCAAGTCAAACTTGCTGGTTTGCAGTAAAAAAAAAAAAATCTATATGCCTGTTACAATTGGAAAAAGCTTCAGAATATTTGTGCGGTCTTAATCACAATGTAGCTGCTTAACCACAAAATCAACACAAGCCTCCTAAAACATGCAACCTTGTCCTTTAATCACTATTCCTTGAACTTTATTCTGAAGATTTCAGAGCTATTTCAGTAGTAAGACACGAACACGAGGTTCTCTGTTTTTACTGGAGTGTTTCAGACTGGTAACTGAGATTGCATATTCTTCACGCTGGTAAGCATTCCTATGCATTTCAAGATATATCCCTGTAATTAAAAATCAGGAAATAAGGTCTTTCCTTTCATGCTAACTGCAGAAATTTCATTTACATAGCAATGTTGCTGGCAGGTGATTAACAGTAGAGGAACACACAAACAAATCAAGAGACTGCACAGAGGGTTCCTGACTTGTGACCCATATGGAAAATTCAGTGTGCAGGGTCTAATCAAGGTAAACAGGAAAGTATGTTATGACACCAGTATTAAGTCACTTTCTGATGATACCAGGCTACTTCAAGACCTTTTGGTGAGAAGTCCAGTGGGAAATACAGCAAGTAAGATATGAATTCTCATTTTCAATCTCGCCAGAGAACAGCTGCACTTAAAGACAATAACTAATATTAAACAAAAGATCCTTCCAGCAAATGAAGTTAAAAACAATTACATTAAAATTAAAAATTAAAGTCACAAAATAAACAAATTAGCATATAGCAAAAATATTCTACGACAGTGCATAGTAACCCAGTATTACTAACAGCTGAAAATGGGAAAGAATAAAAAATGACAGACTAACCAGCACAGCTACAATGTGAACACAAAACATTATCTCCAGTTAAATAATGCTCTTACACTAAGCAATCTTCCCCCAGACATCTCTACACTCATAAGAGTAGAAAAATACCTATCCATTAGCTGAATACCACCATTTTTGCAGTTTATTTTTTAAAAGCCAGGAAGAAATGCAGCACTGAAATTCACATCAACCTGTTCGCACTTGGTTTTGCTTCATAAAGCTGAATTCATGATTCAACTACCTAGTGCAACAAAATGATTCATAATAAAACATTACTGCAGCATCAAACCAGACACAAAATTACCTTACAAAAGAAAGCTAGTGATGAAAGGCAGCTAACTGTTCACTAGATTACTAGATCATAATCTCTTCACTGAAAGAGACTGTTCTGACAAAGCAAAACAAATTAATCATAAGTTTTGCATGCTGTTTTCAATACCAGTGAAGACTTGGATACTTAAAACATTTATATATGCCTTCTGGGAGGGCCCTGCAACCTGTATGGATACAGACCTCAATAAACGTTACAGCTGGTCAAAGGCAGAGCAGCGTCACAAGCAAGAGATGGACAAGGTGAACAGAGGTACATTGAGGCCACACAGCTGGAGACTGAGTTACCAGGCTTACATGGGTACATCTCCTGGAACAACCTTCCCTTCTATGCAGGTGCTGCTCTGCCATTATCAGGCCCCTTCACAGAGCACTCCATATCTGTTCTAAGTGGGCATACACCCTAGTACTTTCTTCTGGGTTGGTTTTTATCAATAGAGGGCTCTGTGTTCTCTCTCATGTAGCCATAAACTGTTCCTGCCTAACCTGAATCTGCAATGGAGACTGTGTCACCAGCAAGTGAGGTGGCCTGGGGACAATGAAGATGACCCTCGTTCACTCTCCTGTTCCTAGTAGCCTGCGAGATGTGTTTTAGTTTTCAGATTTAATTAAAAGAAACCAAAATTTGAATTAAGATAAAGGCTACTATGGAAGAGAAGAAAACAAATTAACTTTTTGCAGCAACTACAAAACACTAATTATTCCACTGTAGTTCAGATTCAGTGAGAAAGAAGTCTGTCTGCAGATAAGGAAACAACTCCACAATTCAGAAAAGCAAGGGTAAGTAGGAAGGAGAGTGCCTACTTAATGGGATGACAGACTCCAACATGAGGATTGCTTAAATTGAGCAGCATTGCATTAATAGAATCATAGAATCATAGAATTTCCCAGGCCGGAAGGGACCTCCAAGGGTCATCTAGTCCGACCTCCCCGCAGTCAGCAGGGACACCCCCAACTAGACCAGGTTGCCCAGGGCCTCGTCGAGCCTCTCCTTGAATATCTCCAGGGATGGGGCCTCAACCACCTCCCTGGGCAACCTGTTCCAGTGCTCCACTACCCTCACAGTAAAGAACCCCCTTCTAATAGCTCTAAACAAAGCCTACAAAGGCATGATGGAACATTTTGCTTAAGAAGAACACAATGCGTGCTGCTTTAATTTCCAGCCCCTCACAACCTTCAAAGGAAAAATTCTATACTCTCTCAACTGAGCAAGCCAGAATTTGAACTATCCAGGCTGTCAGAGCCCTGGTCGTGTCCCACATTGGGCACCAATAAATCTGTCGTGGTTTGGGCTAGGCTGGCCACCAAAGGAACAACAAATGTTCTCTTTAATTTCTCTCTCTTCAGAGGAGAGGAGAGACAATGAGAAGAGAGAACTTACGGGTTGAAAAAGAAACTGAACTACTTTAATGAAATATTAATAGTATAATAAGAAAATGAAAACATAGTAATATTAACAAGAAAATTACAAAATATATACAATATATACACAACCAGTATCCAACTCCCAGGATGATGATCACATCACCAGCAGGCAATAGGAAAGACCCACATGGACTCAGTGATGGATGGGAACTGGATTCGGATCTGGAGTCAAGAACACACAGATCAGGATCAAAGGCACATGAACCGAGTCCTCCTCAGATGCTGACCATTGATTAAAGAGGCTGACTCCTTACACCACTCAGCTTTTATACTGAGCATGGGGCAGATGGGACGGAATACCCTGTTGGTCAGTTTTGGGTCACTTTTCCTGTCTGCTCCTCCCCACAGGTGCAACCTCTCTACACTTTTCCATCTCTGACCCCCCAACCGGGCATATAGCAAAGTTGGCTGGCCTTGTTTGTTACAGCAATACGTATAAGCAAGAGCCCCTCTACATACCATTCCTTGGTATTCACTATAAGTATTAGGTGTTATCACTATGGAAGCAGACACTGTCTGAAAAATATGCCATTAGTTTCAGAGTTAGAAGAGACTTAACTGAAAAATAAAATTACCGAGAAGAAAATTGGTTCTGTTTTACTGCAAACCAGGATAGGGAAAAGCAAAATGCATGACAAGGAAGACAGGTTTTAGTTTGTTCAGAATGTCTGCTTCTTGTATTGATTGAAGAGTTTTGGAAAGGCAGTCAAGTATGCAACAGTAGAAGAGGTATTCTCACATCCCTGATGGTATCAGCTATAGCCACAATGTAAGTTTGTAAAGGCAGAGAATGACCATGATGGAAACAGATATGCCCTATAATGGACGCAAACAAAGAATTAACACTTCAGCTTCATTAAAGCATAAATATTTTAAGAATGTATAAGCCCAGTGCTGGGACTCTCAGAAGAACAGGAAATGTTCTTCTAAAAGCTAAAGAACCTGAGACTACCTTAGGTCCAGCATAACATTAAGCATTGCTCACAGTAATTCATGTTTTGCCATTTCAGTGACCTGTTAAATACAGTTAAGGTTCAGAATACACATGACAGACTTATCAAGGAATAAAAATTACAGAACTAAAGGCCACTAAAGAATATTGGCAAGTTGTAGGAGGAAAGAGTATTTAACCAATACTGAAAGAGAAACTATCTGGACAGTAAGTATACTAAAGTAACTGATTCTCGCTAGCATAATTAGGCACCAGGTGCGTTCCATCCCTTCCTTTCACCCCCAACCCAACGATCAAATTCACTTAGATAACACAAGAAAACAAAAAGGCACTTGTATGAAGGCATAGTATCCCCCAGAAAACTGAGATTTGTTTATGTTAGAGGAAAGCACAAACAGAAGTCTGACAGTCTCACATGCTCTGTCAACAGAGGGGATGTGCACAAGTCACCTGAATATAAACCCTTTTTCAATCAGCCTGATCCAAAACACCTGTGGGGGACTGAGCTCCTCATGATGAACCTTGGGACTTAACACTGTTTGACAATTATCTGTCAATTCACCAGGGCCCACAGAAATGCTGGCACCCCCTTTAGCTGGAGAAAGCCTGTGGCTTGTTGATCAAATTTGGATATTACAATACTCCCACCCATTAAGAGCTACACACCAAAACCAGGTCGAACAATTACATTCAAAAGCTACTCAATTCTAGTGAATACCCACTGTGACTTTCTGTAATTAATACAAACTAAGATGTGAAAGTAATGAGCTTTTCTGACTAATAAGTTTCACAAGACATGAACTTGCATTCCTGATAGAGGCTCGAACACTACCACAAAGTAAACAGTAATGCCAGGTAAGTTTGAAGCCGTTTAGTGGATTCCACAACAGTACCTTATGTTCCACACAAATTTAAGGCCATGCAGCACTCAAAAGCCTCAAGTTCTCTCTCAAGCATACTTTCCCATTTTTGTCAAAAACGGGATTTCAAATAAAGTGCCAAGAGTACAGAACACTAAATAGCAAATGAGAAGTATCCTAATAACTCTTAGAATAGGACAAATGCAAGACTTATGTCGGGTGTTCACCATAATCTAAAATAATTTTAGAGTAGAACATGCAAACTGAACAGTCTTCTCAGACACCAAGTACTCACTGTCCTATACTTCAGAAGCTGCTAGTTGAGCTCTGCAGATGCAGCTGTATGTACAGTTACTGGTTTATTCCTTGCTCACTACACTTATTATGGAACAAAGGCAAATCACACAAAGCAAAAAGCCACACACAGCTGTAAGGCAAGAGAAATAAAAATAAGGTGCAGGCATAGCGTAAGCCATTCCATATTTAAAAAGTCGATTTTAGACAGTCCTAATCCACCACTAGAAAAAGGCAAAATGGCCAGGATGAAATTCAAAAAAAGTAATTAAATTTCCAGTGGCCTTTAAGGAAGAAACTGCTTACAAGAGCAGGAAGAGGAAACTTCTTCAAACATAACTGACTGATGGAGGCACAAAAACCCAGAACATCTCATGGAGACCAGAATGAAAGAAAGTGGAGTGCAGGAGTACTTCAGAAGCATGTAGTGTACAAATCAAAATACAGTATAAGAGTAAGATCTAATAGAGGAACATAAGCAAGGGAAAATAAGGCTTATAACTTTGTAAAAGAGAGGATTTAAATGTTATCTGTCACAAAGAAATTTCTCTGCTGTGAGACTTAAGTCTAAGCAAAGCTGGCAGAATTTTAGAGAAGAATTAAGTACCTTTGAGTTTATAAATAGTATACTGTAAAAGGCAAGGAATCTACAGAATATTTCTATGTTTTACCACAAAGTAAATTTTGTTTAAAAACATAACACAAAAGGGACAGAAGTAGGACTGAAGAAGAGGACGATCAGTTCAACAGAAGGTAGCAGGTATGAGGAGATCAAGAACAGAAGCCTGCAAGAAAACACGTCAAAGAAATAAAATGGAGGGCAGATGCCTAAAAGTTGTACCTTATCATGTTACTTCATATATAGAATTCCCTACAGTTCTGCTAAGCTGCTAACAAGCCAGTGCTTTTCATCATGCCACAGTTCATTTCCCTTGTACACCTCCCTGTTTTCTCTTGAGTCAGTGTGGTTTCCCCAGGGTGAAAAGCTTGATACTATTGTGCCAGTTGCTTCTCTAGAAAGCTTAAGGACAAACCAAAGCTGCATAGCTTTTGTGACCTTTAAAAAATAAGACCTGGCCTTTCTAAGCCATGCATAGAAAGTTTAAACAAAGTTAAGTGCAAACAGCTGTAGAAGTGCAAGACCTCTACAAACATTATAGAGCAGCACCACACACAAATCACTATCAGTGACAGAAAAAAAACAGTTGCAAGCAATAGATGTTACAAGCCACAGTGAGTATCCCAATTAAAGGGCCACAATCTCTACAGTGAGGGACAAGGTTCGGTATTCCTTAGGAGACTCTAGTTCAATTATGGTATTCAGTAGTGATTTACCTGCTTTTCATAGAATTAAGAAAAAACTTTTACACTACATAAAGTTTTATTATGAGTTAAGTATGAATCATACAGATTGACAAATATTGATCATACAGAGGTACTAGAGATGTTTGGAATGGGGCTGAACATCTGATTAGAAAAAAATATTCACATACTAGGTATCTGAGAACATATACATCAAAACAGGAATATTTTTCCATATAATGCAGGGAAAACAAGACAGCGCAGACCCTCTCATTTTGCCTCGAGGGCACAGAATTCCACCTGAAAACTAAACTGGACAGCAGAGCTTATAAACTATTTCCCGGCAGTTTTTATTATCACCTCCATTCCCTTTATTTGTATCCTTCACCACTCCATCTTTTTCTCTTCCTCTCCTATTTATGGGGGCTCTATCTATTAATTGAATTCATTTATTCTGAACCATGACATTACTATTCCATACCTCTCTCCAACCTGCTCCAGACTGCACCTGCTGATCTCTCCCCATCTTTCAGTGTCTAAAGTACAGCAGGGAAAGCAGTACTTATGGATGGACTTTTGCCCCCAACATTCTCAGTTCTAGTATATCTTTGCTAAAATAATTTTTCTATTAGTATCACTCATAAAATCTTAGGGCTACCTACCAGCTATTAGAGCTCATATTTGGAAAAGTATGCTGATCTTGATCACTTTTGGAGCAAGCTATTGACCCTTCATTTAGAACTCTTACCAGCAAAATCTTTTTAGGGTTTTTTTTGGTTTTTGTTTTTGGTTTTTTTTTTACTCACTTGGCCACAGACTGGATAACTTTAGAAGATGTATCCTTAATATTAGTGAAAAATCGCTCTGTTCCACCCCTCAGAATATCAAAGAACCCTCCATAAGTCTGGTCACATTCCGCAACGGTCAGGCCTAGAGTAGTTGAATAAAAATAATTGTACTTTAAGTCATATCTTGCAATGGGCTTCATACTAAAGCAAGCTGCCTAGAAAGCTGGAAATGAATGCAACTATGACCTATGCAAAAAACAGTACTTCTTGACGTCAGGAAGTACTAGCAAACTACATAATACATTGTTTAATTGACTGTTTGCATTTAAGAGAAAACAAGGTAAAAATTTCTGAAAGTAAACCATTGATTTCTTATTGCTAGTGCAGCAAAATACTGTATTTTTTTTTTGTATCAGTCTCTTTCAGTGCAGCTTATCACTAGCAAATCTGCTTAAGCCCCCCCAGTAGAGACATTTTAATGCAGGGCTTCAAAAGCAGCTGGCATAATTAAGTTACTTGTTGAACACAACATCCCAGCACAAGATCCCTATTAATATGATTGTATACAACAAACAGTAGCCATTCTTGCATGAAACAGATGGCCAGACAGCTTTTTTTATTATAATCCTATTAGGAAGCTGGAGTCTTCCACATTAATTGATACACAGGTAACATTACTGCAATAAATATTACCCAATTCTAAAAGTTTCCCTGGAACATTAATATCCCTTACCTCATTGGCAATTCATCATAAAGTAATATGAAGCAAAAAATATCAAGCTGGAGGGAAAATTGAATACAGTATGAAATATTTCCTTGTTATCTTCTAGATTAATTGAAATGTTCCATATTCTCATATAATGTATGATAAGATGGGTGCAGAAATTGCTTTTTAATAAGAAATTAGATACAAATAAGCCTATCAAACTTCTCATTTTCTTTACTATATTAAGTGCAAATACTTTCAACTGAATGAACTCTGGAATACCTATTGTTACAGAATGGGCATGTCAGCTTTTAATCGTGTCATTTTGGAGATGGGGTTTGGTTGACTCAATGTAGTCCTGCTAGTTCAACACTGTTTTTGCTCAGATGGAACCAGAACTCCTCCTCCTCAGCAGTGATGCTCTATGGTGCATTCATATCCTGAAGTCCTCCCTCCACAATCCTCCCGTGACAAACTGGGCTCACAGCAGTTCCAGGTATGGCTATTATTGCATAGCCAATAAACTGAGTTTAGGCTGCTGCTTTTTCCCTTTGAGGCTGTCAGACATGAGTCTTTCAGAAGTGACAAAATTAAACAGCTTTAGACTACGATCACTCTGTCAGATGCACTTCAAACTATCACAGGGGTCAAAAGACTTTTTTGTGGGGGAGAGGTGGACCCCAGAGGTTTATGGAAGTATTTCTTCCTCATACAGGCTTTTTGCAGGCTAAAATAAATACATCAGATCAGTGACTCCTTAGCATTAATGAATCACTGTCGTCCATAGTCAAAATCCCTGCAATTACTTCTGCATTTCTTTTTTGGACTGCTTCAACCATTAGACACCAACAAGCCCATTTTAGCATAAAGTTAGACCAAAAACCACAGACTGGCTGCTATCTTTTAAGTTGTAACACATCTGGTGTAAAAGTAGTTGTGTAGTTGTTCTTGGAAAGCAAAGAAAACTGTTACTTTCTTACACCAAAGATCCAATTTGTGCACAAACTCAGGATATATACTGACTTTAGTAAATTCTGCCATAAAGTAACAAGGCTTCAGTTAAAAATCTTCTCAGAAGTGCTGTGTTTTAACAGTTTACATTTAAACTCTTATTAAATGCTCCACTTTACACAAGACACTTTAAAATATTGTTGCCTCATTGAATCATAAAGTTTTGTGTTTAAAATAAGCCATATTTATTATTTGTCATAACCTGAAGATCACTTTCACTATAGCTCTTGTTCTAAGGACATTATTGCTTATGGTATCCACCACTTCCATCAAGTTTTAGTTCACTTATTTCAACTCTCCCACCTCTACAGGTCAATAATGCATTTTAGTTTCAATTATTTTATATAGGAAATAGAATTTTATCTTGCCCATCACTGAACTTGAGAAATTCATTTGCATCTACCAACATACAACCAAACCCCAGAAAAAATAAAACAGTGTTAGAAACAATGATATAAATGTAAAATAGCTAGCAGTTGTGCAAAATGTCTAAAATCTCCAAAGGATTTTTTTTTTCCCATATAGACAATATGCAACTGGTTTTACATTAAGATGATGCACTTACCTGCATTGTACATATTGTTCAGCTGTCCTGCAGGCTTGGAACTCTGTGAAACAGAGGTCACAGATGTCCGAGGCTGAGCATTGTTTCCATAGCCTCCATTTTGTTCCAGAAGCTAAGGAGATTAATAGTCACTATCAGTATTTTCTTGCCAATTTAGCCAACTTATTATGCTTTGTAAATGACTTTTACTTGGTGAGAACAAGCAAGCTGAACTTCAGGAGAAAGCCAGGAAGTTAAGATATTCTGATTCACTTACAGTATCGCACAAATTAAGCATCAAACAGAAAACATCAAGTTAGTATAGGCGGAGCCTTCTATACTAGATTTTTCTGTGCAAGTCATATGCAGCATGTCAAACAGCACTTGCATACTAAAGAATGACCCCAAGATCATAAAAACTTTTTCAACAAGTAGTAAGAACTACAACTAGCTTCCTTTAATGTCATGCAAACTGTACTTTAAAAAGTGTATTTTATTTTCAAAGATTCTACAAGTGATACAGATCAGCTGAATTTCAAAACAAGGTAGTGTGAAACTTTCAAGAGACTAAGGAACAGGGGATCTACTCTGATACCTGTTACTAAACTCACTGGATAAGCGAGGACAGAAAGGAGACCTAATCAATAATACTCCTTATGAAACAACTTACCTCTGTGATGGGGGATTTAGGATTCACATTCCTAGCTGCTGCAATCTCCTGCAGTTGATTCACAAGTTCAGTGATTGACAATCTCTCCTCTGGGTTCACCTTCAAAGTGAAGCCTAAAAAAGGAGATTCAGGCAATGTAACAGAAACTCTTCAGAGCTTTTCTTCCAGCAGAGGTTAGTAGTGCCTTCAGTGCACTTCAGTGCAATAAGCAATCAAACATGAACAGACTGGAGCAACTGCTAAATCCATATCCAAATACAATTGCCATAACAGGTACCCATGAGAAAGTTGCTTGATAATGAATTAATTTTAAAAAAAAACAAAGCAATAAATTGCTGTAGTTAACCTTTTTCACCATCACGTATCAAACACATTTAATCATCAGTAATACAATACTGTCAATAATAATGCGTTTCCATAAAGACACTAAATTAAATAACACCGGGAAACTTACGAATGAGATCATGAAACACGGTATAGCGGGTGTCATTTTGTGGGATGACATATTTCCCATTGACTATGCGAAGTTTAGCTCCATCTTCAAATGGATGTTGCCGAAAGCACAGCAAGTACAGGATACAGCCCAGAGCCTACAGAGAGATAGAGGCAGAAATATTTCATAAGCTCATGATTCATCTGGGCTGGAAAAAATCCTCAAGATCATCTGTTAACTCAACTGTTACAGGATCTTTAAGATCATCAAGTCCAACCGTTAACCTAACACTACCAAGTCCATGCCTAAACCATGTCCCTAAGTGCCACATCTACACATCTTTAAAATACCTCCAGAGACGGTGACTCAACTACTTCCCTGGGCAGCCTATTCCAATGCTTGATAACTCTTTTGGTGAATAATTTTTTCCTAATATCCATCCTAAACCTCCCCAGGACAACTTGAGGCCATTTCCTCTCATTCTATCACTCGTTACTCGTGAGAAAACATTGACACCCATCTCGCTACAACCCCCTTTCAGGTAGCTGTAGAAAGCAATAAGGTCTACCCGTAGCCTCCTTTTCTCCAGATTAAACCACCCAAGTTCCCTCAGTTGCTCCTCATAAGCCTTGTACTCTAAACCCTTCAACAACTCTGTTACTCTTCTTTGGACACACTTCAGCACCTCAATGTCTGTCTTGTAGTGAGGGACCCAAAACTGTATGCGGTATTTGAGATGCAGCCTCACCAGTGCCAAGTACGGCAGGACAATCCCTTCCCTAGGCTTTCTTGCCACACTATTTCTGATACAAGCTGGTATACTATCTGCTTTCTTGCCCACCTGCGCACTCTTCTGACTCATATTCAACCAGGAGCAACCAACCCCTCCCAGGTCCTTTTCCACCAGGCAGCTTTCCAGCCACACTCCCCCAAGCCTGTTAGGCTGCATGGGGTTGTTGTGACCCAAGTGCAGGACCTGGCACTTGGCCTTGCTGAGTCTCAAACAATCAGCCTCAGCCCATCGATCTAGCTTGTGCAGATGTCTCTGTAGAGCCTTTCTACCCAAGCAGATTGACACTCATGCCCAACTTGGTGTCGTCTACAAGTTACTGAAGGTGCACTCAATCCTGTCATCCAGATGACTGACAAAGATATTAATCAGAACTGACCCCAGTACTGAGCCCTGGCAAACACCACTTGTGACCAGCCACCTACTGGATTTAACTCCATTTACCATAATTCTTAGGGCCTGGCCATCCAGACAGTTTTTTACGCAGCAAAGAGTACACAGATGTCATAGTGGTGTCACAGTAGACAGAACATTGGCAGTGACACTGCCAGCCCAGGATGGCTATAAAAAAGTCTTTGCTAGCAGATGAGCAGCCAGGTGAGCAAGAGCAGGTAGGGGCGGGCATGGAGGCAGGGGCTGCTCATGCTGATGGAAAGTGGCTGCTTTGTCTACTTTGTCCAACTACAGTTGGATGTCTGGATGGTGAAACAACCAGAACACAGCACAGTCCTGTCCTCTTCCTCCTCTGCCACTGAGCTGGAGAGTTGCCAACAGTCTACAGGACAGATAACACTAACGTCTGGTGGTATTATTGGGAGCTAGAATCTCCCCAAAGCCATGGGCAACTGGAGCTCTGTGCCTTTTTCACTGGGTTCCCTGGGACTGAGCTCCTGGCACTAGCACTAGTGATATAGTGGCTATGTCAGTGGGCAGAGTGCTGGTGGTGGCTAACATTTTTCACCCAGGATGGGTGTCTTCTGGCCATTATGGAGGCATGGAATGGACAACCTTGATGTGAGGCTGGGAGAGGCCCAGGCAGGGATGCAGGGTCTGCCCATAGCAATAGAGGGTGGCTGTTTCAGTTGGTGGTTCTCCTGTCTTTGACAGCTGCAGCCCTGGACAGGGACATGAGCAGATTATGGCACACTTCTGTCCTGTTCCTTCTCCAGTAGTCAGCAAAGAAGTGTTGTAACTTTGTACAAGGGTGTTGACCCAAGGACAAAGAAACACCTTATCCAGTACCTCTACACCTTATCTTGTATCCTGTGATAGACAGTGTCATGGTCCTACAAGAAGCTGGTAGGCACCCATGGCTGTGGACAAAAGGAGCTCTGCAGTACCCACCTTCTTTGTGTGAAACTTATCACAGACTGAAAAAAGTTTATAAATACATATCTTCTAATTCATGAGCCCGTTGGCTGGTTCTTCTTGTTTGTGCTGTCTTTAATTCAGGCAATGATATTTGAAGCAGAATTTTAGACTGTGAAATTGATTGAGCTTCCTAACACTGCTTGCAAATCATAGGCTTCAATCACCAACTGCTGACTTATGCAACTCTATATATAGTCCAAGTGCTTCTCACTCCTTTAGAAATAATCAGTTTTGATGTTTCTCTGAGGTTAGAATACTTAGTGAAACATTTGTTTGCCATGTCAGTTAGAGAGCTCAAAGTAGATATACTGCAGCTAAATAGGTTTGTAGGGCTTTGCCCCTTTCATGGAAGTTCTCAGTTTCAGGGAATCTCCTACCTGTATTTTTAAAAATCATTACAATATATCCATTTTATGATTTTCACAGTATACAAAAGTGAGTAGTCTTGCAACACTGAACATGTTCAAGAACACAATTTTTCTTACAAAACGGCTCAGAAGTTTTACTTTATATCTTCGTACTGGGCTTCAAGAAGACTCATTTTATTTGTGGGGACAGGATTTGGTCTTTTTTATTTTAACTCGGATACATTCTGTTATGTAATGCATCAGGTAGGTAAGCATTTAAGTGTTAATCAATTTGTTTAAATAACAGTAGGGGGATACAACAATCTCTAAAATGCTTGTTTTGACAAAGATTTGAAGAAAATTAGTCTGAAATGACCATCCCTTTATTTCCTACAATTTGAAGGTTTTCAATTCTTATAACAAGTAAAATTTAAGATCATTTAAGTTTAATTTAAATTTAAGCCTCAAAAATAACAAAACCGGGACTACCACAGCCTGGGAACTCTCAAATGTCTTGCTGTGCCCAAACTTAAGACATACAATCTGACAAGGGAACAACCAGCAGAGCCAGAAGTCAGGTTTGAATACTAATCTCTGAATGGCCCAGATGTTATGGATTAGTTAGCATAATTTCATTTGTTACTTAAGTAAAAGTTGATAAACATGTTTTCATAGAAGTTGACATATGAAACATACTGGCAGAGTTATACTATTGTAATAGACCCACATTCCAATCTGGCCTATAAAAGTTTGATAATAAAGAATTTGATACCTCCAAGAAAACATGTGCACAACAGACTGGAAAATTTCTCCTTGACGTTTCTTCTGAACCCCAGCTTAGTTGATAAGCATATGGGCTTTTATAAACCCCACAAACAAAACAAGCCAGTAAAGGCATTTGATAAGAAATCTACTCACTGCCTCCTGTCCTGTGTGTGCACCATATCCGAATTGGTTGTCAATTTATCTCCAAGAAGTTTTCAAAGTTTTGCATGTTATTAAGGTCTCAAAGGTTTGAGATATAGTTCCTCAAAACACTTAATCTCTCAATCCAGGGCCAGAAATCAACATCATTCATATTAATTATGAATGATTGCATAGCAAATACATTATTGTCAGTCTGTTGACAAAAAGCTGTCTGCAATGTATACACTGAAGTGTCATACAGTCCACATTAATTAATCCAGCAGGGGAGTACAGGAAATACCACCTACTCTGCCACAGAAATGCCTGTTTACAAAGAAGCAAGGAAGATCATAATTTAGTTGCAGCAATGAAACCACTCCTTGTGCAGTCTGAGACACCATGCACATGAGAGCATCCACTTTTCCACTGACCAGTTTCAGGCAATAAACAGCTTACTAAAAATGATTAAGTTCTCCAGTAAGATTACCGGATGGCACACAGGTATTACACCAAAAAACCTTCTCAATAGAATTAAACTACATGAAATCTAAAGAGATCATTCAGCTCACATAGAATTAAAACCTGCAAGATGTCTTGAACTGACTAGAAGAATTCTTTTACTAGATATTGGTAAAGGAGAACCCAACTTTGAAATTTTGCTCATTAATGTATTCCAAAGCCCACTCTGTTTCTTCCTAAATTTCTAAGAGTGGGAGTGTGTGAAGGGCCTTCCAAGCCAAAAGATAATTTCAATGGAGAAAAATCTTTATGACAAGGTAAAGGCTGTTATTTCAGTGGAATTCAGTTGAATTTCAGTTCAGGAAATCACGTTAACTTGGAAAAAATGGAACTAAAGGTATTTGGGTGTAGTGTTTATTTTCCAAATACTTGTAGATTTCGGAAAACAGTTGGCCAAGCTTAAGAACCTCTAATTTCACAATCAATATCTAATCACATTCCCATTGTGGAGACTATGTCACACAGCGACAAGCACACAGACTGTGTGCAACTGTGTTACTCACCCTACCTGCTTTCTTTGGAAAACTGTTTTGTTTATCCTAACCACAAACTACAAGATGAGTTATTCCTCTTGAGATAACGTCATATTTCATTACCAAAAACACAGAACAATATGTTCCAATGAAGGCATGGTAAATGGAACAGATCTTCCAAAGACACAACAGAAGACAACCCCCATGTTAATACAGAGTTATTCTCAACAAAAAGTAAATTCCAACTGCCCTTCTGAGTGCATTTCTAGCTTTGTGTTTAACTGGATGCAATCTTGGCTCACACAGTGCCAGTATTTAATGCACGTGAAGGGACCAAAAGGTCAGAAAAATGTATTTTTCTTGGTGTTTCTTCACATGCTAGAAAAAAAATTGCCAACAGCTGTAGAAGCTGAATAGAAGTTTCTGCAATATCTTGTAGCTAACTTAAGAAATTGAATGAAGTTCTAAGACTGCAGATAAAAAAAATTAAAGCACCAATATTACATTTTCTCAATTTGTCTTTTGACACATTCCAATACAGACAACAGCTTGACACCTCCTTCTGTAAAAAATGTCATGTCCAATAAACTAAGTCCTTAAGCACAACATCACTGGGCTCAGTAGTGTTACAGTATTACACAACTGAAAAAAGGTACAACTAAGGATTTAGTATTTACCTTTGATTCTGGCTACAGATCTTTTATTGAATGTTAATAGTTTTATCATCCTTTCTATACAAAGCATGAATGATCTTTGCATTGTTCTCATCCTTTTTATTTGTTAGTGTTTTACCTAGATGGAATATCTAGACACAACCATTGTGAACTCAGCCACAGGCTGTCCCAGGATTACATGCATTGCGGAGATTCAAATTTTTGCTTTTCATGCTAAAGACTCTATGGTGGCAAGCTCTAACTAGGCAATATTTCTACTGATTGTCATTGCCTCTCATGGTGGAAGTCAAGCTAGATCTGGGAGAAAACTTCAAATACTATCTCTCATTCTTTAAATATTTAGATACACAGTTCATGCTATTTAAGTTTATTTTGACACAAGATAGTCTATCTTGTGTTTAGTTTGGTGTTTTTATTTATATAATCAACAAATCAACATGAAGACTGCAAAATCAGTTTCACTATGACATAAGCAGCTATGATACAGCAACAGAAAAACTTCTTACCCAGATGTCTTGTTTTTCACCAATTGGAAAATTTGAATACAAGTCTATCATTTCTGGTGTCCTGTACATTGGCGTTGTATTCCTTGTGATCTGCAGAAGATAGAATTCCTTGAAATTCTATGATTCTATGAAACAGAAACTTGAATAATAAGCTCTAGCAGCATTCAACCAAGGAAAAAAGCTCTCCATGTAGAATGGATAGCATTCGCAATTTGAAAATTAATTTCAGAAATACTTGTCAAGGCAGAAGCCATCAATTGAATCCTGCAAAAGTCCCATCAGCTTTGATAAAAGGCAAGATTAAAGATGGTAGTCCAAACTGTAAAGCACCAAGTAAAATAACTGTTCTACATGCAGCAAAAAGGGATATGGACACAAAAACAATTAACCAAGAAGTGAATTCATCCTTCAGTGTGTATTTCTCACTTCCTTGTCACACTCAATGACAGTGGAGTCACATCCAAAGGGTTAAGCTTTGTTCACAAAGATCCCCGAAGAGACCTTTTCTACCATTTTTTTTGCAGACTATACAAGACAGTAGTACACCATAATCTTTTCTGTGGAAACCAACAAATTGCTCTCCAATGATGCCAGATTCCAAAACATGGAGAGCGGTATCAGAAGTTGCATGCATGAACTTTAGGTGTTACTGTATTTCTCCATACTTACAAGGCTGAGTCCAGTTGATCTACTACGTTACATTTACCTTATGCTTATATTTATTTTACCTTATTGCTTATATTTGATTTACCAGCATTAAATTCAACTCTAAACTAAGAACAAATGCACTTTGCAAAAACATATTTGCAATAGTGCAAAACCACACTGTCACTGCAGTCCTACAGGCACTGCAATATTGCCTATTAAATTCAGCTGAGTAAACTTGCTGCTTCTTTATTTATCACTCAATTGAGAGCAAAACAGATGAGAAGGTGGGAATCACTTAGGCATAATGAGTTTTTGACTTCCTGTTAAGAGCACAGTTAGAATAAGCTCTAGAAATCACTTCTATTTTCACACGAGATTGCAGAATGGATACTGCTCAAGCTGAAGCTGTGTTTGTATATACATGCAACTACAGAATACAAACTATGATTGTAACTGCAGATTGTTTGAACTCTGGCAACACAAATCATAAAGCTTTGGTTTTGTAACAACACTACAACTGAAAGAATCATCAGTTTTCTTATAAGTCTCATGAATCAATATCAGATTAACGGTAACAATTAAATGAATCCACCGTTGATATTAAGATTAATCACATTAAAATAGTCTCACCTCTTCTTCAACCATTGCTCTCTTTTGTGCAGACCAGCTGTAGTCAGGATAGTAAGCTACAGTTGTAGCACTACCGAAGTCACAAAGTTTTATGGTCCCTTGGTTACTAATAAGCAAGTTTTCCACCTTCAAAAAGAGGTAGAACAATAAATTAGAGATTTTATTTTTTTTCCCATGCAATAACACACATGCTTTTAAATATTAACTCACTTGTGCATATATATATATAAAAATACTCACTTTAGACCAGAATGTTTTTTACAGGAGCACAAAGACTTCAGACAGTACTGTAGAGTATACAGTAGCAATAAAGCCTTTTTTTTAAAGGAACCACCAATAAAACTATGAGCAGGAAACATTCAAGAGATCAGGAAATAAATCCCAAGGGAAAAAAAAAATATTTCATTAGCGTAAAAGAGGTGGCCAGTTTTTCAGAGGACCACTTGCAGAAGCGGTTCCAAGCAATATCTTGGAATCTAAATGTCTTCACACATAAAACTGAATACTGTTAGCTTAATTGCAATGGAATGGAGGTTAGGACTGCTGTAGACAAAGCAGGAAGGTACTAGTAGAGAAGGCAGCTGCTGAGGGATGCCCAGAAAGAGGCAACCATGACCCTGTGTAGAGACAGAAACCAGCTAATTTGAGGACCATGTGCTGCCTGAATAGTTCTTCATCATCCCTCCCTTTTTACACTCCATAAAATCCAACCTTTCTGGATTGCTAAGTGAAGTAGAGAAGAAACAACCAGGTATTGGGCAGAAGTATTGTGGGGTCACAACCACAAAAGTGATGACGAAGAAAACTTGTATCTCTGTATGCAGTCAGCAAAAGATGTAGAAGCTTAGAGGCATATTAGTAACATTGCAACACCATGCTTCAGATAACTAGGTTTGTCTTCCTTATCCCTTTGAAACCACGTCATCTCTGAACCTCCTTCTGTAAAACATCTGCTTTCAGAATATCCTACTAGCCTCCCTTACACATGCCCCCTCCAACTTCTTCCATCAGAAAAATTAATTCTGACTACCCTGCAGAAAGACAAACTCTGTTAATGGTGTGGTTAGAGTATTGATCTCAATGAGTAATCTGAACTTCCTTCTGTGTTGTATAACCTTTGCTTATCTCCATGTACAATAAGAACAGTGGGCATTCAACATCAAATTAAATTTATATGCTAAAAATGCTCACAGTAAGACCAGATATCAAGCTTCTGTGCATATATGTTCTGGTTTTTGTGCTTTGGTAAAGGTTGCCAATAATGTAAAACATTCCAGGTGATTATTCAGATTTTAAACAGGCTCTATGACCTGTGTTATGAAGACTAGCTGTGCACTGCATGGCAAATCCTGAAAAGATCAAATTCAGACAATAAAAATATAAGTGATTCTCTGATATTTTACAAATTGACCTCTAACTAGCTTAGAACTTTTACAACTCAGTAACTAGCTGGGTTCTTATGGTGCTGTACACACACATTGTAAGCGTAAACTTAGTCCAAAGGGGCTCAGGAAAAAAGAATGCAACACACTGACAAGCAAGGGAAGAAAACCACAGGAGGACAGAAATGGCCACCACTATGAAGGCGAACTTGTTTTTAAGATGCACTGTAGAACTTCATAAATCCTTACACTTTTAGTCAAAATAATTGAGAAAAACCTGTTAGGACTTCACCCTACTACTCCCCTTCCCAAAAGCTACACTAGCATCTCAGGTCTCATTTGAGGTTGGCTCAAAGCTTCGTCCTACCAGGAGTTTTTTATGCTGCTGGAAGCCTCTGGAAAGGGCAGCACAGTTAAATGATCCCTATTTGGCTCCCAATTGTAGTAAGGTCTTTGCCCATTGCAGCACAACTATCACTTAATCTTGCTTTACAGCCCCTGAAACATGAAACCAAATTCCTGTATTTTTCCGTATTTTCTCTACCAGTAACTTACATTACTTGACAAGAAAAAACAGACCTTGAATTACAGCATTAGCTCAACTTCTATGGAGCTGGCTATGTAAAGAATTGTATACTTATTTGTAAATAGGTTTTTACCCCTTTATTCAGAGATGAGATGCAACTTTTCTACAAGATTTTCTAGGGTTGGTGTATAGAAGTTTCAGTGAAAAGTAAAAGACTTTATTCTAGAAAGCAACACCAAGAAAGTTCTATCCCAGCTTGGTTAAAATTTCTTTGACATCAGCTAGTACACTGCTCAATCGCACTAAGAAAAAAACAACAAGCACTCCAACTAATTTTATTTTAAGGGACTATACTAGTGCCTAACATCAAACCTTATCAACAACAAAAGCACACATTCACTTTTAAAAAGTGGTTTCATTTTCCTTCCCCCAAAGTAAACTGAGTACATGCTTACTTAAGGAGGAATAATTTTTCCTTTTTTATACTCAGCTGACATCATATCAAGCAGGAAACAGATGTGTAAAATTCAGACACTGTTTCAGGAATAAGAAGCTTCTTTCACTACTTTTGTTTATGTTTACAAAGACCACTTCCTTCCATTAGGTTCAAATGTTTTTGTAGTACAGCAGAATCTTACTGATGACTAAGACTCCTTCATCTAAGGCATAGTGTACATGAAAAGGTGAAGCCCTGACTTCAAAATACGAAATTCAAACACAGATTAAATCATTTCAAATCTCTGAGGTTTCTAAGGGGACAGCATAACCGTATAGCACCTTGGTAAAGTCTAACAGAATAAAAAATTAATAAACAAAACCTATGATGAATTATGCCTACCAAGTTTTAAAATTCGAGTTACAAACAAGCCCTAAAATACAATGCCAGCTGATAGTTCTAAAACTTCTCAAAGGCTAAGTAATCTTTTACAGAGAATCCAACATTACCTTCTCCTCTCTTTCAAAGTTTTACCTCTTCTTAGAAAATCTGCTCACCCCAAAACCACAACTCACAAGTCGTAACTGGTTATTTTATCAAAAGCAAATCACTTAAAGATTAGCTTAATCAGCAAGCCATGATATACTAGTTTTCTGTCAGCTTGTTCAGACAGAGTACAAGTAGTACTAACCACAAGCACACAAAAAAGATGTCACTTGAAGAGATGCAAGTATTTCAGTGATGACCTTCACTGACATCCAGTAGTCTTGGTAAGGCAATACATGTAAGCACTACAGTCAAGACTGTTCACTGTATGTGATTAACAGCCTCAACACTGATTAAGCCTGATAGGCTCCTTTGTTGTTTAAAAAATCTTCCTTTATTTAAACACTGTAACGCACCTTTAAATCTCTATGGATAATAGGAGGCTTCTGTTTATGCATATGCTGTACTGCTCTGCAGGTCTGATAAAAGATCTTCAAAACTGTGTCACAGGAGATAGGTCCTTTGGATTCTACTTTCTTTAAGAATTCCACCAGCTGTCCTGCAGGAAATCAGAGAAATTCACATAAGTGCACACATAACACCAATTCTGAAAGCTTGCCGTGAATAACAAACATTCCTTTCATCAATGAAGATCTTCAGTCTTGAGCTGTAATATTAGATGTATATTTTTAAAATGGCAAATCCACACTGACTGCAGTGCCAAAGGAAATGGTGCTCTAAGAAACTATTCCTCCTCATTCTTCCAGTGATTCATCACAAAGACCATAATGATTATCCCATATTTAAGATGAAGTTGAACTGCAGTCTCAAAGAACATGATCCTTATCCTATAAAAGCTGAGGTTGAACTCTAGCTCCACTGAACTGTACTATCTTTAAAAGCCTTTCAAAGCCTCCAAGGTATGAGTTAACCTGTGCAAAACAGCTGTCAGAAACAATATCCACTGTCAGGGAAAGAAAGAAAGTTTACCTTTACACAGCTCCGTAAGCAGAAGAAACTCTCCCTGTCCTGTGTCCGATTCTTCTTTTCCTATGGATGCAGCAGAGCAGAACTGGACAATGTTGGGATGACCTGAAAGTTTTTTCTGGAGATAACATGTTCAAGGAAGATGCCTACCAAGTTCATTGATACTATTGAATAGAGCAGTTCACAGACATCTCATTTGAAATGTTAGCTTAAAACCACAGAAAGCATTACAGCTGCAATTAAAATACCAAGCAGAACAGGGAAATCCATGCCTCAGCTGAAAAAAACAGACTTCAAGGATGCCACTGAATGTAATGTAGTAAAAAGTCAAAATACAACATTAAAAAAATACATCTTTGTGATTAAAGCTCTGAGCAAACTGGACTTCACAACAGACCTAGTTACTTCTTTTTGTCTTTTGATGATGACTACAAGGCATTAGCACAAGTACCAGAGAGACCTTTTAATTATCAGCTGCTTCTCTAGCTGGCTGGCTAAGAAAAGGCTAGTGAATCACCTGCTTTTCCAAAGTAAATGTTATGCTCCAATTTTAAGTAATTAAAATAAAGTTCAAAACAAATAAAAGCTCTAAAAGACCAAGGAACTTATCCTCCCATCATTAGTAATAATTCTTCATACCAAAACATTTGTCATCTTTAATTTCCAGTTCAAAAATTCAAAGTATCATTTTTGAACTACGTAAAGGGGAGTAAAATGTAAGTAATCTCAGTTCCTGCCAGTGGAAGTTACGTTGCATTATGCCTGCTTTTGTTGTCCCTGATGTGCATCACCTTGGTCATATACTGGGGGGGAGCCATGTCTGAGACAAACACATGCTATTTGCAAGATGTATTCACCAAGCCTCAAAAAAAAGGAAAGACATTGTAAGTAAAAGAAAGCTTTAAAAAAAAGAGCAAGTTGAATCCACCGAATTAGAATAAATTAAAGTACGATTTTATATCTTATGCAGCTCTTTACAACCTTTTACTCAGAGCTATGGTAAATAATTCAATTTCACAGTTATAGCTTGGAAAGTTAGCAACAGTTAACCCTCATTCATATTGTAGATATGCTTTAATGAGCCTGAGCTGTGAAATAACTAAAAAGCATTCAGTTCTTTACTCCTGGCAAGATACAGCCAGAGTAGCTAGAAAATGTATAATGCTATGGTAGTCTGTTCTTTGCAAGTGTACATCTAGTGAATGGTGTTTAGTGTAAGATTTTGCCAAACATTTCAGTAATCATAAAAAGAAATATTTGAGTAGCTTAAATTATTATCAGTGGTTTTGCGCATTAACTCAAAATGAAGCTGAATACTGAGAGTGGAAAATAAAACGAGCATACCACAGCTCCTCACTGAATCTTGAAACAAACTGAGGGTGTTAGAGGAGATGCTGGGGAGCAAATACTGAGTTTACTAAAGCCAAGGACTGAAGACACTCTCAGATTACATTATACCCTATCATCTAACATCATTGAATATGAAAAGGACAGCAACAACATTGACACACATCTGCTTCTTGTTTCCAATGCATGGATTCTACTGAAATTCCTTAACATTCTGCATTACTTTTTAAAGTCAGACTTATCTGAGGCAGAAATTAAGAAACATTGAGAGCAAAAGCAAAGATTTCAGTAGTTGAAAAAAACGGTAAGTCCAGTTCATGTGACAGAAGTCTACTTAAGATCTAAATATAAGCTGGATAGTCAAAAGGTCTCTTGACCACAGTCACAGGACTTCAAGAAAGCCCAAACAAGAATTTCACTTCTTGGTAGACAAAGTACATAAAGTCTACACTAGCAAAGTCTACACTAGCTACAAAAGTTATCTGCACACACTAAATTCCTGCAATTTTTGAAGAACTGAACTTGCTGGATGTTGGTGTCATATTCATGACAAACTAGGTACCCAGATCTTCCTCAGAATGTCAATGCTCTTAAGCAGTGTATGGCATGGAAAGAAGTGAATCTGTAGAGCAGTCATCTGTTTCTCAGAAGTGTTTGATATCAGGCAATTAAATCATTAAAATATGTCCCAGAAAAGGATACCATAAAACAAACTTCCTGAATGATGGCTTTATTCTTCTCTTCTTCATTAGACAACAATCGCTGTCAGAAAACAGAATAATTTGGAAGATATCGTTATTAAAACTCACAGAAAAACAGTGCACAGATTTTTTTTTCCAGAATACCAAATGGATAAGCAGTAGTCAAAAGCCTAAGGAGTTATAATGAGATAGTAAAAGCAGGCTTATTCTACATTTGGACATGCTACCATAAATATAACACCTAGTTTTCCAGTTACCTGTACCGTTCAGGTTTAGTGATAACTGAGCAGTTGTAACCTTTGACACTCGAAGTAATTGCTCTGACAGTTTTCTGTTGTATAAAACACTAAGGTCTCCTGGCTACAGCACTGTGCACTGACAACAAAAGATTAATATTCTGCCTCAGATCTTTAGGAACAATCCTCAACCCACTCCAACTAAAACTTTTCAAAATTACGTAGCCCAACTTTCTCAATGGTACCTGAGTAACCAGCAGCAAAATCAAGCATTACTATTTCCAATATCACTTGGATTTGGAGTCAACATTTTACTAGAATCAATCTGAGCATTTGCTCCAAAAGTACCAGTTTTACAAAGGAGAGGAAGTACAGTAACAGTTCACCTTTTATCCATTATTTTTAAATGGGGCTACTTCTAGATGACATTTTGAACAGACATACTATATATGTGTTCACAGGCTTTGTTCACAGGTTTTATTACTGTAGGATGTGGTATGAAAAGCAAAAAAACAAACCAAGTACTTACTGGTCATGCAATGCTATCTTACCTCTTGCACCTTTCATACTGCCCTTTTCACTTTCTCTCCAAGATAGATGTCTTTGTACTGATAGAGCCACAGAACATCCCTACTCCAAAACTGAAGCCATTTTGTGGTGAACACAAGTGATACAATTTTATTTTTTTTTGGCAACAAAATATGATAAAGTAAATTACTTCATTTTATTGTCCTTTCCATAATACTTCAATTTTCCAGCTCTTATATGATTACTATAAGCCTTCAGAAAACAATCCAGAAGTGCCTCTGAAAAGTGCCAGGCTGAACATTTGATCAATGAGTCAGTGTAGAGGATTATTTTTAATACTGATGAAACTTACTCTGGAAGTAAAAAGGCAAGCTAACTGGTAGGCCAAATCTGCTTCTTCAGAGTGGAAATATTCCTGTACCCTACTTCAGGTAACTTAGAAAAAAATCTTTCTACACATGTAACAAAATGCCTGGGCAGGGTCATGAATTTCTAGACCAAATGAAGACAAACACAAACAGTACCTAATGGAGCAACTCCCATCTTTGGCATCTAAGTATAAAGTGCAGGATCCTAACAGGAATGACCATTCTAAATACAGGCACAGCATGCTACAAACGCCACTTTATCATTCTGGATTCTTCCAACTGACTCATTCAGTGGCAAACATCAAGGATTAACTGTCATGCTAAAGCATCAAGCAAAAAGACAGACTTTATAAACCTATAATGATGTAAATTCATTTTACCTTTAAAGCATAATCTTTGCCACTTCCAAGATCTTGAGCTTCGTAGACAAAAGCAAAACCACCTACAAGAAGAAGGCCCATTAAGTCAGTTTTAATAATTTATCCATTTACTTTGATTCATTATGTAGTATGAGGTTCGGTGCTTCCCACAATAGGAAGTTCCCTTAGGTTTTCTAAAGTTTCCAGTGCAAGTGCTCTAATCAGCAATTACAATCAGTATTTTGGGCACTGATGGAAGAGGGGCTGGAGAGAGAATAACGTTCACACCACCATCCTAGAGTATTATCTGAAGATACCTTGCTCCTTTCAGAATAAGAACATATACAAGAAAAACAATGTTCTGTACAGTCTGATCAGTTATGACTACTGTTTATGGATTTCATAGAGCTGGTGAAACAAGCAAGATAGTCTGAGAGTCATCCTACCACTGAAGCAGGGTGGCAGGAAACCATGTTTTTTGATCCATCTTCCCAACCAGGTCCCTGTTTACATCCAGAAGCATGCCCCAGGTTTGAGAGTCCACTGTGCCAATGAGTTGAAAGTCCCTACACCAGTCACTACAACACAGGGATAGTGCCTCTGTGTCTTTGTCCCATAGACCTCATACACAGTGAAAGGACTGTTGGCTCTACAGAATAAAGTCTTTACATTCATCTCAATAACCATTTATTTGATTTTATTCTAATAACCCTACAGGCTGCATCTTGAAAATACAGGCTTCGAGTTACAAAATTAGGGCCTTCAAGTCAGCACACACATTACTTCAGTTAGTACATGAAATTACTGCACAGTTAGTATTCTGGAAGGCACTTAAGAGCAAAACTATGACAGAGGCACCCCGGGTTACAGAACAGTTACTCTGCAAACTCGGCTTAGCTGTGTACACCACCAAGGGTTCCTCCAGGACAGGAATGGGGCACGTCTACTCTGCATTTCAAGCATACAACTTGCTAGTACCTCTACAAATACAAATGTCCACAGACCTACATACTTGGTCTCCAAAATATAACTATACTTCGTTCAAATGCATCAAATGCCCTCCTGGAAATTATACAGGGGAAAGCACTGAAGCATCAGAATTAACTCATCAAACCAATTCACCATTTTCAAACATATATCTGATTAACAACCAAGCTGATCCAAACTCTGAAGAAGGCCTCTAGAAGCACTGCTACCTTTCCAATTATTTCAGCTGGACTGATGAGCTTTCCTACAAGCTCTTTCTCCAATATAAGAAACGCTTACAATATACACCAAGTTGCACGTTATTACTAAGCTTAATCCTGTTGGCACTGAGTACAAAGGAGTGAAGGGAAGAATTAGTTTGCCTGACTAATAAAAGATTATAGTAGTCTTCAAAACAAGATATACTTGAAATTTTCACAGAAGTACTGATCATGATACAGTCCTCCCAAAACTCAAGACACATTCAGAATTGAGTCAACACACCCAACCACAACATTACAACCACCTCAAAGGCTTCTGAAGTTTAAGTAATTTTTGTTGCATTTAAATGAATCTCATTTCCAACAACAAAAAAATATTAATTTCAGTCCTTAATTACTAGTTAGGAATCTGAAGAAATTTTATACTGTTTCAGAACTACTTCAAAACTTATACTGGTTGTTAATCTCAATAATCATTGAAAATCATAACTGTTCATTTTGGCTGAGCAGTGCAAGTGAACTTTTTGAGCAATGCATATCATTTAAAAATGATAAACAGCATAGCTATTTGACTTTAAGTGAGGCATAATTGACCTTATCAGGAAATCCAGTGAAATCTGCATATAAAGTGTCCAAACTAAGATTTTGCTGAGGTCAAATTTAAAGCTTGCAAGACTCAATTTGTGTATTAGCAAAATATTGGTTAAATTACTACATTTTCATAGCATGGCTTAACAAAAGGAAAAGTAATTAAGAAAGTCTTCTTTAAGGCTATTTCAATGGTGGTACGGCTTACCAGAGCTCCTAGCAATAATTATGTGGTGGGATCTCACAATTTATACAGAGGTATTAGATTAGTAAACTGAAGGGAGAAACATCATTAAAGTAGTGATAGTTTAAGGGTACACACAAGTAGTTTAAAAGATGCACTTTCACTTCAGCAGTTGTACCTTTAGTACTGAAATACTAAACACAAAGTTCATTAAACTTTTCAGAACTCCAAACAAAAGTCAGTGGTAATATGCCTGGTTACAACCATTGGCAGCTATGTCCCTATCAAAATATCTGTTTTAAGTAAGCGTCTCACTCTGTAATTTCGTTGTTTCACCTAAACACAATTCAGCTCCATGTAACACTGCTCATTCCAGATGGTGATCAGTTCACTACTATTGCAGCACTACTGCGGATACCAATTTTAAATCTATGGATTTTCTGGCATACCAAAGGAGGTACAGTGTTGTGAAGACACTTTTAATTTACTTTTTTTATTAAACCATCTGTTACTGGCAAAAACAATTCTTTCACAAGAGGCAAAATTAGTCCTTTTGCTTCATTACAAAAAGCAGTTTAGTTTAGGTTTTGATGCTGGCTTCCTTGTAGAGCTAGTCTATTAAAACAGTTCTAATATACTATGAACAGAGATGACTTAACTGGCAAAACTTTTCCTTTGCTATAACTGTTTACTCCAGGCTCTCTTACCAATGCAGTTTGCAATACAATTTGCAAACACACAAAAAAAAAAAAAGCAGTTTCACCTGTTTAGCTACAACCTCACCTAGGATCTCACAGTCAATACAGCCATGTCAGTCAAGGATCACACACCTGTATCAACATACCTGTATGAACAAAGATCTGTATAGCAGACCCAACTGAGGCAAATGACAAAATGAAAGTTAAGAGCATAGCACTGCTTTGGTTACTTTCCTAGGAGTGTAGAAATAATGTAGTTTTATATGGGGTGTTCTCACTCATTATTTCCACCCATGTAAACATCTGTAGATGGTTTTAAGTCTGTTCTCAAAAATACTCTCAGATTATTATTTACTGCCACAGAAATTATGGCAGAAGAAAATTAGCTTTCTTTCTTTTCTGTAAATACAAATTTACACAATAACAAGTTCACTACAGAGCACCAAACAAGTTCATTAAAAAGGAGTAGCTGAAGTACAACAGTCAGTCCTGGAACCCGTCTTGCCCAATAGCAGACCCAGAGAAACACACTAGAGCAGAAAGCTTACCAACCTCACCTTTCCAGCCCACATTAAGATCATCTGATTACTTCCTTTATATTAGGAAGTAGCCCTACCTCATTTGCTTTAATAGTGGGCACTCATTCTTACACCACCACAGCCCACATGCATTGTTCCTATCAGTTCTTCACCATCCTCTTACAAAGATTAGAATACCCTTTCTTTTCCAACCTAGAGATTCCTCAAGTTAAACCTATGCATCACATAATATCAAGTAAGTTCACTGCACTACAAATCAAACTAGATTTAAAGCTTTTTTTTCTCCTGTCTCTGTTTTTCCCACCTTCACAGATTTTTTTCAGACAAACCATTTCAGTGAAATGATGGTTTTCCTACTTGTATGCTAGTGAAGCATCAGAATAGGGACATCAACGACAACACAAAACTGCTTGCTACTGTAATGCATAGTTTCACTACACACTTAACTAGTCTTGAGAAAAGGATGGTATGAATAACTTCCTGTTTACAACTGCTTGACACAACTTGTTCACTCCCCTCCCAAATACTGAACAAATTTGCTTCCACATCAATTTTGAGCGTGAAATGTGAAACCTTATGTTTCAATTAAAACTTTATTGAAATGCTGCAGTTCCAGCCTGGACTAGAAGTTACAGTGCATCTTACCTAAATGCAGACAGATGCTTTTCCACCAGAGTACAAACAACACCCTTGATCAAAACAGGAAGGATGCTCTGTCCCTGCTGCCAAGTATTGCTTCATAAGCATACTTTTTGAAGTCCAGTCATGCATTTGTGTCAATTGCAAAGTCCTAATAACAAGATGAAAGTGCCTCAAAAATGAAACATGGCTCAAACTCAAAGATATGGACTTTGCCCCCATAACCTTGAGAAGCAGAGACGTAAAACACCTTGAAACTTTCAGAGCCCCCATGCATGGTGGAACTGCTCTATGTAAGAAACACCGGCTTTAAAAAAAAAACAGCACTGCTATGCTTCACATTGAAAAACTCTACATCTACAGCAAAGGGAATGCAAACTGTAAAGCTGCTAGGTCAGGGTGCTTTGGCTCTTCTTCAGAGATTGTCATCTTTTTTCCCTCACAAGAAGTCTGCCTCACATGTGGTTTGCAGAGTAACTGTCAGTTCATTCTTCACGTCACAGGGTACTGCAACTTGTCTTTGACTTGACATGAGCTCTCCTCCCTTCACAATAACTCCAAATATCTGTCAGCAAATCAAACTAACAATGTTCACAGAAACTTGACCATTAAGTGCTCATTGTGCCTCTGCTGCCCCGAGTTTTATGAGGTATATCCATCCAAAAATCAGCATTTCATTACTTTACCACACTTCTGTGAATCCAGGAGTTGCAGAGACTATCAAATTGTACCTATGAGCTTGGTAAACTGTAATAATGCCTGTTCACACTCCTAATATTGAAAGAGCATTGAAATCTAAAGCAGCTTTTTTCTTTTTTTTTTTTTTTGATACTTTAATGACAGTCACAAGTTTCACTTTCCCAGAATGCAGCTTACAAGTCACCTACACGGGCTTCAATACACAACAGATTTTAAACTCACAAAAAATTAAAGTCTATAGCCTATTACTACCTTTTTGACTATGGAATGTTTCTTTCTTCATGGTCAAAGTTTTAGACTCTGATCAAGCAGTTCAAATAACACATTTTTTGTCACCACGTTTCTCCTCTTCTGTGCTCTTACCTTTTTGTCTATGTTTGTTGATTAAAGGAAGAGTAAGTCAGTCAATACATATGACAAATTCTTGTTAAACGTGTGCTACAGAACTTGCCTGTTCCCTGCTTTGTCCACAACCATATACCTTGTTTATTCTCAATTGTTCAGCCTCATATGTAAAACAAGCAACAAAAGCACTGGAAAGTTGTGAGA